TGACTTTAAACTATACTACAAAGCTATAATAACCAAAACAGCATGGTACTGGTATAAAAGCCTTAGGGTTTTGACAGTCTTTCTGACATGCAAATTTAATAAGATTAATAATTTACAAAGTTTAAATTGAATATATCTGTAATTACTTCTGATTATGATACCTGCTCTGTTACATCCATGGTGACCTCTGAAACCAAGCCAGAGCAGTGCAAAAATCATCTTCTATTTTATACTTAGTGAAGATAAAATACATTTCATTAAAAACAGCATTTGTGATAATTACAAAATCTAGTTGAAAAAGAAAATCTAATTGATAGGCTAACTACAGATACTCAGCAAAGACAATCGACCAATAAATTAAATGGTTGAGACGTGATGCTTAGTTGCCCCCCAAATATATATTCCTCTTTCTTCCTTCTTGCAGAGGGAAGGAGGGAAGGACAGATGTGAGATTACTGAATAATGCATAGGGAAAGGGGAAGTAGGCATGGACCACTGATTTTTTTAAAATATATTTTTAATCAGCTTGAAGGCAATGGAAAGCTAATAAAATAGTGAATATTGTATAGGCCCAAATTTGGGAGAAGACAGAAGTTCAGTGAGTTGGGTCTGGCATTTGGAGCCACTTTTTTCCTAAGGGAATATGCCAATTCTAGAAAATTTGGCTGGGACTGAATGATGCTTTTAAAGAGCTTTACAAAACTAGTGGAACAAAATCTGGAATCAAGGTTGAAACTCTGATAAACCCCCTCCATTGGGGTAGGGACTCTAAAAGACTATGCCCTAGTAGTAAGGGTTAACTGAAGCAAACTATCCCTGGCATATACTACAGTTTAGGTTCCAATCATCTGGAAGATCAGAAAATTTCAATCCCAGAAATTGAATTAGGGAGATCCTTGATTCCTATTGCCTCAAGGAACCTGTCAGAAATAAAACTTAATTTCTCTTTAGAGAAAACTAACGTTATCCTAGACCTTGATTTATTTTCACAAACAATTTTTCATATACAATTTCCAGAACACAATCAAGGACATGACAGTTTGAACAAGCAGCAGTAGATGACAGAAGCAGACCTAAAGAAATCTAAAATATTGGAATTATTAGACACAGACTTTAAAATAG